GGGATCCGAACCCGGGCACTCTGGCGTCCCAAGCCAGTTCTTAACCATTGCGCCACTCGGCCGGCCCTGTACACTAGTTTTTAAAATCCATTTGAAATACTTATTTACAAATACATACATACACACAGGCATTTTAAATTTGGGTACTTAAAAAGACAAATTCCAGTTCTTTAGGAATTGTACCTATGTGGAATAGCTTATTTTACCCTTGAGTCCTCAATAAAGCTGCTTTTAAGTCTGTGTAAATTATACTCTGCCTAAACCCTTCCACACTGTCATCCATATGCATGGCACTTCCTGGGGTTATGGAGGGCACCGCCAGCCAGGTCTTATGGGTCTACCATATACAGTTGAAAAATGAATGTTTACCACCTTAGGTATTCCTGCCAACCCTTTTTAAATATAAAATGATGTGAAACGTTCTATGAAACTGCATCCCTCCCCCAACCAAATAAAAAAGGAAATGTTAAATTGTGAACGTTGAAGCTACTTTTATTCAACACCATTTTTATTGTCCTGAGCTGCTTTTTCTAATGCTGGAATGTACTCATTGAATCATATTTGAAACCAGTATTCTCTGTGATTCTATATGCGCCTCAAAGTCTAATCTCATTGGAACTAAATAAAGGGGCACTGTCAAGTTCAATTTAGCCAAGATTACCTCTTCAACAATACTTCAAAGATTTTTATTCACATAATTTATATAGGAGGATTAGAATATGCACTCAGTTAAAAAAAAGATTACTTCGCTAGTCTGATGATCATGCAGAATCGTATTGCTAATAAACTCTTTTGTATAATTTCCCACATGAACAAGTGGAGTTTCTCATGGGAAATATGCTTATGTAACTTTTTTGAAAGAAATTTATACTAACTTCCTATTTGTTTAAAAAACAACAAAATAAAACAGTACCTTAAAGGGAATGCCATGCTAGAACGCTAGAATAGTACAGAAAAATAAATAGCCACTAAGCCTGTAGTGAATGGGGTTTAAAAAATAATTTTAATAAATGATTTCAATTGACTGAATGATTATATGAGTGACCTTTAGAACAGATGTTGAAAATTTGCAGTCCTGAGGCCTAATTCAGCCTATGTTTGTGTATTGCCCATCTGGCTCAGTGTTTTTAAATTTTTGTATTTGAATGCTTTCTCAGTTCCATAGCCTCCCTCTCCACCTCACTATTGCCTGATGCCCATCTAGATTCAAAGTTTGGTGTGACCTGCCTGGCCTTGCAGGAGGCTGAAATTGCAGCCTTGGAACTGGGGGCCCAGTAGATTTTCCTGAGACCCATACTTAGATATATTTCATAACAAATGCAAACATAGTTTTGCATGCTTTCAATAATTATCACATCCCTACATAGGCTGCAATGTGATTGCGAATTTAAAATTAAAATATTGTCCTTTCAAGATTTTTCTCTCCTTTCCTGCTTTTCTTCTGCTAGTCGTTTGAACTAAAGATACCTGAACCATAAGAGTGCTGGAAAGAAGGTCAACACAGGGCCAGCAGGAGGGGAAGCAGTGTGACCAGCGTGCTGACGTCCTTCAGTCAATTAGTGGACCACAGGTCACACGCTGGCCGTCACTGCCGCTGCCCTGTAGAGGTGGCACCAACCATGGAACCACTGTTAAAAGGATTGCTTGGCAAATCAATCTGGTTTAAAAGAGTCAGTTTTTTTTAAAACCTTAGTTTATTTGTTTCAGAGTAATGTTACTGCCATATTACATGATTTATGTCTATAACCTGAGAATTAAGAGCTCGATTTTTAACTTAAAATGGTATTTGGAACTGAATTTTAGACTGATGGGGTGTGAATTGATGCAAAACCTTAGTTAGGGACTTAAGTTGTTCCCAGTGGTTTTGCTTATGGTACTCTTTCAAATCTTTTTGAAGAATTAAAATTAGTTTTTATTTCCCCCTTTCCACGGGGAAAAAAAATGCAGTTGACAGCGTTTTGCTCAAACCCATACATTTGGTGTAGTTAGTAACTAGTAGGGTTAATTTGTGCTTTTTAGTGCACATGTTGGCAACATACATGTGCTCTCTTATTTCATGATCTCTTGCGATTAGATCAGGATCTTACTCGGGTTTAGCCTGGCTATGAAAACTCTCTCTCGAGTTCCATGCAAAAGCACAAAGGGGCAAGTTTTCTCTAACATTTCTGGATAAAATGCACAGTTGCCCTGCAGAGTGTAGTCTGATTTGATAGTTGAGACTAGGGGAAAAGCCACATGACAGTCAGCAGATTCAACTCGTCTATATAAGACCAGGTGTCCTTCCCGTGACTGAGCAAGCCAGCATTGGCTTGTTATGAAAAAGCAAGGTGGACCAGGCTGCTTACCGTTAACACCGTCTCTGCCTTTCTGTCTAGGGCAAGAAAAGGCAGGGGAAAGGCTGCTTAATTTCCTGGGAGGCATCAATCTGTGCCAATCCAAATATAAAAGCAAAACAGGTGAGAGCTTTCAAAATACACTCTCTGAAGCATTCCTCCCCTGAGGTCTTTAGGACTCATTACCAACTCAGGAAGCTTTCTAAGGGATGGATCTTGTGAGCCTAAGCCAGAGAGTTAAAGACATCAAAGGCATGATGAGCAAGGACCCAATTCTCCCTCTCTCTTTCCCCTACCCCCAGAGGCTAATTTACTTTTCATTGATCTCAAAGAAGTTAAATTCTGATGAGGCTTATAGAGAAACCATGGAAGGTGCGAGACAGGAACATTTTCCACATGAGTGTTTTGAAACCCAAGTTTTGCAACTTGGAATTCACAGCACTGTGCAAGAAGGTGTTGCTACATGGAAATTAGAATTTAGATATTCTTTAAGACTTGTGCAAGATCTTTTGGGTGGGTGATTCTACTATAGCTAGCTGTACGAATATATGGCATTGATGGTATGATCTGAAAGGTTTCAGTTCAGTATCTTGAAAGTTTGAATCTACTGCCTATCCTTCCACCATTGTGTCGTAATTCCTTTGGGACTTGGAGGCTTGGTAATCATGCAACCCTTTTAGTGCCAGAACTTGGAATTGAGCCAGCTCCTCTGAATTTCTCATCTTGGGGTTTTCCCTTCATTTTGATTCTGCCTTTTAGCGAACGGCCCTTGAGAACAAGAATGGGACTTCTAGGAGAAGCATGGCTTCAAACGGGCCAGGGGAAGGTCTCAGAAGGAAGTAACAGGGAACGAACAGAGATAATTTGGTTCCAACGAAGAGATAAGTCTACTTGCAGGTAGGACTTCTCACTTTCTGGAATCGAAATGTCCCTCCTTTATTTGATTGAATGTATGACACCCTTCCTCCTGACAGTATCCCAGTGGCATATTTTGTAAATGGAAGATGAATAAATTTCATATGAAGAATTGTGATACACACACATGCACACACACACACACACACACACACACACACACACCCTCCTTGGACATCTCGAAACCAAAGCAAAGAATAAATGCTGTCAACTCAGGACTGCGGTGGCCAGAGAAAGCAACCACATTCTTTTTAAACACAGTTACACTGTCTCTGTTATTTTGCCATAGAAATGAAATTAGCAGGAGGCTAATTTCTAGCCATGACTAGAAATGAAAAACCAAGTCAGAGCTTGGAACATGAATAAGTCAAGTGGACCAAACAGCCCCGTTTCCATCTGACTAAAAGGTTTCCCAGAACATGGAACTTTCTGTGCTAAAACTGGGATGGTCCTGGGAAAAATCAGAAGGATTGGTCAACCTTGGTAGGTGGCAAGTTAAATAAACACTGAGTTCTGCTCCTTACACGGGATGAACTCTCCATTGAAAGGTTTGCCCAGTTAAGGAGATGGTATCCTCAGTGAAAACACCATGTAGTGTCATTGTCCTGGAGCATATGTGTGAAGCATGCTTTCTGAAAGCTTGGTCAGAACCAATGCAAAGATCTGGCTGGCAACACGCATGTGTGTTTATTTTCTAGCTTCAGGTCCTGAGTATAGCTAAGTCTGGAAGAAAGCAATGAGACAGGGATAGATGAAAAGCAGACAATAAGTCATTTTGGAGGTGATTGTGTGCATAGAGACACAGGAGATGTGTAGACCCAAGTCCCTGTCAGGGCATGGCACTCACTCCAGACAAATTGGTCTACACATTGTACCCCAAGCATGCCCAGTGCTTTCTCACCTCCTCTGACCCAGAATGCCTTTCTCTTTCTTCTACAGCTACAAAACGGAAATACTATCTGTCTTTCAAGGATCTTTTGAAGTTCCACTTCTTCAGGAATGGCATCTGTGACCTTCAAGGTTCTCTCTCCTTTAAATACCCACAGGGCTAATCTTCAGTCATTTGGTACACCCTCTGGTAGTATCAATAATTGACTTTCAATATCTTATATCCCCAGCTGGTTTGAAAAGGGTAGGCTAAGTCTGGATCATTCTTTCCTCGTAAAAAATGCCTCTGATCTGTTGCACTGTGCCTAGGCCAGAATAGGCTTATCAAATATCTAAAGCAGCACTGTTGAATAGAAATAGGAAGTGAGCCACAGTTGTCATTTAAAAACTTCTAGCAGTCTCTCTGGAAAGAAGTGAGAAGAAATGGGTGCAAATAATTCTAGTGATACATATTGCTTAGCGCAATATATCCTAAACATTATTTCAACATGTAGTCAATATGAAAAAAATTATTGAGACATTTTTACATCATTTTCATTGTACTAAGTCTTTGAAGTTCAGTGTATATTTTACTCCAGCACATCTAAATTTCGATTAGCCACAAATCAAGTGCTAAAGAGCCACATATGGCTAGTGGCTACCATATTGAACAGCACAGGTCTAAAAGATAAGTTGAGAGAGAATGTACTGACGCATTTGATGGAGACTTTACATGACAGAAGAGTTTAGTTTGATTTTGTAATCAACGAGGAGGTACCATGAGTTTTTTAGAAGACTGCAGTAACTTGTCTTAAGATGATGAGAATCGAGATTAGGGTGGTGAATTCATACTAATCTGTGATGAAGAATAAATGGAGGAACAGTAGGAGAACATTGTGACTGATGGAACATAAAAAAGTAAAGGAAAGAAAGGAGTAAATCATAACTTGAGGCACCTGGAGTACCAGGAGAATATTAAGTAAGAAGTCAGAGAGATACCAGTCTAAGAAAGAGATATGTTTGCTTTCAGCCATATAATTTCAGGTTCTGGAAAGTTCATCTCACCAGAGACACAATTTGGAGCAAGGATGAAAGGTGAGGTCTGCCAAAGCAGCTTTTGGGATCAATGCTATCAAGCTGGTTGAACTTTAGGAATGGATAACTACGACTGTGAAGGTGGATAGAGATAAGAATGATTCAAAAATGTAATCTTCAGCGTTCCATAGTCCTCAGGCAGGACAAAAAGTTATCAGGATGGTAGGAAGAAAACAAAGAGGTCATGGGAGCCAATGCAGGAGATAATTTCAAGACAAAAATGGGCAGGAAGTAGGAGAGACTTTGAGGCAGATGTGAACTGAGAAGGATCCTTTGGATGTGGTTAGGAAGCAATTTCTAGAGCAATTAAAACCTTTGTCAAGGCTGAAGGAAGAAAGAGAAGGATTTACATTAGTTGAGCTCTCTTCTAAACGCCCCAGTTTCCAATCTTTAGAGCAACAGACTGAAGGTGTTTGGATTGAGAAAGCCAATGTTTTTGAGCAGATACAGACCCAGCAGGAACACTGGCAGAAGGAAACAGAGACCAGCACAGAGTCTGTGAAGCTCTGAACAATTCTTGATTAATGGCCAAGGAAAAGAAAGCCCAGAAATAAGTCAAGTGAAGGGTGAAGGGAAATTCATAGGGAGAGAAGTGCAGGACGGAAAACCATGGCGAAACCATTATTTGGTTTTAGATAAAAGACAAATGGAAAAAAGAAAAAAGAATTTAAAAGATAATTTGTCATTATAAGGACTTATTGTATTTTTTCAACCACTGTTTCAATATTTTACCGCTTACTTTAAAGGATGGGCAAATATGGAATGTGTCCAGTGGAAAGCTGTCTTTAATTTTTTACACATTTTTAAAGAGGGGTGGAAAACAACAGTGGCCTGAAAACCCTTGAGACTCTAGTGGCCTGGAACTCCAATCCAATTCGTTTTCTTTTTCAAGCCTATTCAATTATAACACAAGCATCAGTATCTAGTATCCAATGATTTGAGGGGGGAAAAAAAATGGAGGGATTTTTTTGTCTTTCCTGAAATAACTCTGGGATAATGGAGTCAAAATTAGAACTAATGAGAATTAACACATTCAGCCTTGAAAGTTAAAGTAAATCCCTTACTCATGGATATGAGCTTTACTTGGGGTTGTGTTTGGCACGTGTAGGAGTACAGGGTGTGAAATTTATTCAGTTGCAAAAGTCTCTTGAAAAATCCCTGCAATTTCCTTAGGAGTTCAGGTATACACAAATGCTTCTGAAATCTCTGAAAGATGACAATCTAGATTACTCCTGCTGAAAATGGCGAAACTGGAATTTCTGTTTTCATTCCTAAGGATACCAGAAGCTTGACAGATGAGAGTGAAAAGTGACTGAGGTACTCCTGAGAGGTGGAGGTGGGAAAACGGGGGTGAAAGCATTGTTCACCTGAGAAGAAGATGCTAATTCCATTCTGAGTAGCAGGAATAGAGTAATGTAAAAGGAAATGCAAATGAAGATGAGGTCAAAATCGCTTAATTCATTTCAAATATTTTGTTTCTAAATAGTCTATCCAATTTTCCCTCATCTGTCATAGTCCATTTTAGAGACTCATGCTAGATCTGAGAACGTTCTCTTCTTTCTACATCAAAACACATTTTAAAAGTTGAGAAATAACCAAAGATCAGATGCCGATTCACAGTTAATCAATAATTTCAAACAGGAAAAGGAATATGTAAGTCAAAGACTCTAGTGCATCCAGCTATTCATCAAACATCTTGCTTGTCAGAAAGGACTTACTCATTTTTGCTTACAGATGAAATAGCTTTTTTATTCACACACATGAACACACTGTGTTTTTGTTTCAGGAAGTACCCAAATCAGATGGGCAGATTACTAGATAAACTCAGAGATTGGTATTTCGACTACACTGCCGGTTTCTTAATGTCAAATAGTTTCCTCCAAATCATTGTGCTGCAACCTAATCACAAACTGTCCCTTCAGGATGTTTAAATAAAAATATGTGAGGGAATAACCTTTTAAACTCAAAAATAACAACCGCTATTTAAAAAAAAAAAGGTGAAAAATTTTAGATCAGATCTCTCACCCTTAGAAATGCGAAAAAAGTTTATTGAGTGGTGAGTCTTCACACTCTTGTGTAATGCCTCCAAGCCTTTGTGGGACTGAGTGAAATTGGTGTCAGAGTCAATAGTATCATTTCCCTAGATGTCATTAATGATTATTTGCTTATGGCATCTGCTATTTACTGTAAAAATAAGTTTATATTGTCAGAGTCTCTATTACTTAGGATACTTACTAGAACAGATGATACCTTTGAAGCCATGGTGCTATACAGACTTCCACTTCTTTAATGTGGTCCATGGATGGCTTCACCATGTACATGAACTTCAAAAATGATCACTGAGCTTTTCTACATGTGCCATTTTCTGGAGTGAAGCCCCAGACATTTAATCAGATTCTCTTGGGAACACATGTCTTAAAGAAGTTAAGATATGCGTAATGCATCAATATGAATCTGGCACTTTACCAAAGTTAACAGTATTATTGATAAATGAATAGAGATGTTTACCACCATTTTAAACAAAATAGACTTTTCTATCAAACAAAAATAATACACACTTAGTGTTCAATTCAGCGTGTTTTGCCTCATTTTGGATTAAAATGAACAGTTTCACATCATGACTTTCATCGTATCAGCGATTCCTCAGGTAAACAGTAGCACAATATGAGAAACCTTGATTTTGTCACTTCTCTTGCTCTCTTGGAAATAGCAAATGTCATTTGCTTATATCCCACTCCAAATAACCATTACTACCTACTCACACTACTGGAGTTTTCAAAATAGCAACTGCACGTTTTTATAAACCTTTATGGTTTTCACTGGTGAAGTAGGGCTATTTGACAAAGTACACACATCTGGGGGGTCCATTTGTCATTATCATAATTGCATTTTACTATAATTATTTTCTTATTTACAAATTCTTCTCAATGAAAAGTAAGCGCGGGACAAAAACCCCACTTGGATGAACTGTGTGCTTAGGCGAAGGGCCCGCCCCTGCGGTGGGGTCTTCCAAGGAAAGCAAGAACTAAGGGACCGTCCGGTTTTCTCTCCCGCACAGCCCGGCTTCCCAAGCCCGCAGGCCCTGGAGCCGCCCACCCGCGGGGCCCCAGGCGAAAGCAAGCTCACGAGTGTCCGCGGGGCACACACCCGGCGCCGCAGCGGCCGGGCATCGCCTACCTCGGGGATTGGCCCGCGCCGTCTCGGGGGGAGGCGGGCTCACGTGGGGGTGGGCGAGCGCGGGGGAGGGGCCGGGAGGGGCGGTGCTGCCCGGCCCCGCCCCCCGCGCGGCTACACAGAGGGGCGCCCACGTGCCCAGCCCGCTCTCTGCAGCGCGGCGATTCCGGCGCTCCTCTCCGCGCAGACCAGCGAGGCGGCGGTCACTTCTCAGCCTTCCCGAGTCGCGGGTCCCCGACGCGCTCCAGCCGCTCGCCCACCACCGCCCCCTCCGCGCGGCCCTTGCGCTGCCCCAGTAAGTTGCCAAATCTCCGGCCACGCGGAGGGTCCTCAGGCGAGGGGCAGCCTGGGCGCCCTGGCCGGAGCGGAAGGGCTGGGGTGGGGGCGCCGAGAGCCGCGTCCAGCTGCGCGCAGCTGCCCGGAGACCACGCTCTAGCCACGCTGAGGTGGAGAGTCCTGGGGCTGCGGGAGGGGCTGCTGCCGCGGACACTCATCCTTAGGGCTGCGCTCCGGGCTGTGCTTGTCCCGGTCGGGCCCCCAAAGCATCGGGGTCCCCAGTGGCCGCACGGATTGCGGGAGCTGGGAGACAGCCTGGCACGGCGACTCCGCGGGGGCCCTTTAGCCACGCTTGCCCGGAGGTGCCCTGTGTACCCCTCTGCGGAAGGGCAGACCGAGCCTTCCAGCTTTTTGCACACTGAGGGGTCCCTGAAGTCGCCTTCCCCTCCCTTGAGGTTCTTAGTTTAAATATAGAATACCCCCCTCGGAGCTCTAGAAGCCTCTTCACATCCTAGGGCTGCTCGGGACTGGCAAGACAGGTAAAGTGGCCCGTCGTGGTGTTTGGGGTATTTTAAAGTAAATGGGTGCAGTTTTAAACCTTCTGGAGACGGGCTATTTTTTTTTTTTTTAGCCTATTTCATTCACTTTTCATCCTTGAACTCGAAATGCCATTCTTGACGCTTAGGGAATCACGAGGAACTTCACTCCAAAATACCGCTCCTCCAGAGAACTTGACAACTTCTTTTGCTGCGTACATCCAATCCGTGGAGTAACATATTCAGAGATTGTATCTTAGAGATATTTAAAAGACCTACGCTGACAGGGTCACCTACGTGGAAACAGCACCTAAATCTCGGGAGTAAAAATGTTCAAACTTTCAGATTTTTATGCAGAACTGCCTACAAAGGCGTTTAGGTGATGTGACTTTCAGGACTGGCAATAAGATTTATCTAGTCTTTTGTACGGAAACACTCATCCTTTTAATGAGGGGATGTAGTCAGATGTTATTCAAATAGAGCTATCTGAATCTTGGCGGGAGGCCTGGCATGAAGTTAGAGTGTGTGTCCTCTGACTTGACACTTTCTCCTTCTTGTGCCAGCCGGTCTTTAAAACTTAAGTCGCCTCTTTTCCCCCCTCAGAATTAGTAATAATTACCTCCTCAGCAAATTGAAAACATTTGTGTTTGTGGTCTGTTTCTAGGGGATGTACAGGGTAAGAATATTCTAATTATATACTTATGGTTGTTATGGTTTTTCCCTTTTGCAGTGGTAAATCCTTTTTCTCTTTTCATTGCACTAAAGCTTAACATGAAATGCTTTCTCAGTGCAGAAGAACATAAGCATTTGTTATGTCTACCTTTACTGAAAAGTTACTAGTTGGCTACTCTGGGAGGTCACATTATTTATTAGGGTTTTTCCGGTTGCCTCCCTTGCCCCTCACTTGGTTTCCACTTGATTAGGGGATGTCATTTACCTGAAGACATGTTAACCTTTTAGGGTTTGTCTTGGCCTTGAAGACCAGAGTAAACCTCTGGGTGGTATCTGCAAATTCCCTTTGCGTACTCCTTGGCCTCTTGAGCACATCAGCAAAGCCTTTTGTTTCCAAAATCTGTCATCTTGAGTCTGAACAAGAAGAGAGTGGAGACATGGGAGCTTTTGGAGTTTAAGAGTCTAGAATACTCTGGAGTTTCTCATATCCTATTCTGATATATTTTTGTTGTTGTTATTTGAACATGTGTGCCTGAAGAATTGTAAAGCTCACTGTTCTTGCTTTCCACTGCAAACCTGCTCACCTTTGCAGAGTGGCAGTGCCTAGTCTCCTTTCTAGATGGCCCAGATTCTGTTCTCTTCTCATGCTTCCTTGCTTAAGTTATCACTGTTTCTGCAGGCTCTTCTGGCCAGGCCTGGAGCCCTCCCTCATCTGTGGCCATTTCATCTCTTTCCAGCCCACTTTTTCAAATGGGCTTTCCCATCTAGTTTTCCTTTGGTGACGTCTCCGTTTTCCCTAGTTTCTGCCTTCCTTTGTTTTGACATCTGTGCTTGCTGTTTCCCATATCCATAGCTATCTAGAAAGGTATATATTTTTTTTAAGTGTTCAGAGCCACCTGCTGGTTTTATTTTGGTGCCTATCAGTGACCAACTTTCCAAATAGAATCTTGAAAATACCCTTCTGATGCTCTTTGTTTTCCCCCCCAAACATGATATGAACATGTTGATTTTTAAGGCCTGGCTTCTTATAGACTACTTACTGGATGTCAATCCAGTTTAGAACAAAAGCAACATTTGCAGTTGAATATGTTTCTAAATATTCACATGTTTAGTACTGTGTGTCTCACTTGAATGGTTTGTCATCTAACTGAATGCAGGCATACCTCATCTTGTTGTGCTTTGCTTTAGTGCACTTCACAGATGTGTTTTTTGCAAATTGAAGGCAAGACCTTCCACCAGTAAAAAGATTACGACTCACCTTATTGCGATACTCCTTTTATTGCTGTGGTCTGTTCCTGAACTTGGAATATTTCTGAGGCATGCCTGTACTAAAAAACTCAGTTAACTTTCAGATTTCAATAGCATGATACCACTTATCCAAATGATTTTGAAAATCTAAGTGGTTAACTCATTTCTACACCTTTAATCTGAATATTCAAAACCACATAGATCTAGCCTTGATTTAAAAAAAAAAGCCTAATGATATTGTTCTTTTCATTGTCTTCTGTTTTAACAGTTTTTCATGCTACTGCCTACCACAGCGCCTGGCACATAATATGTGCCCCATATGTCTGTGTTGTTGAGTGGATGCTACTGATTTCAATAATTTGATAAATGGTGTTATATCTGTCTTCAAATGTATATTCCTTCATTGAAAATTTCTGAATCCCTACTGTGTACCAGGCACCAGACAACCAAAAGTAATGCATAACTCCAATTGTAGAGAGGTTCTACCAATATTTTTACATTCGGTAAATCCTCCATTGAGGGATTATAAGAGTAGTTTTTTTGTAAAGTAAAAACACCTATAAACAGATGACTTCAGTACCATCTCCACCAGAAAGCATGTAAGGATCACGCTCTAATATGGTCATACACTGCTTAACAGAGGGAATACGTTCCGAGAAATGCAACGTCAGGTGATTTCATCATGTGCAAACATCATACAGTGCACTTACACAAGCCGGATGGTCTAGCCCACTGTACACCTAGGCTTCGATCCTAGGCCTGTACAGTGTGTACCTGTCTAAAACAACAGGAGAGTAAATCAAGCACAGGAGAAAAGGATACAAGAGATGCGGTAAACCCAAGATGTACGAGGCTGCTGCTAGTGTAACACAGCACACTGTGTGACAGCTAACTTTTTTTATAAGTAGAAAGAGTGCACTCTAAAATAATGATAAAAAGTATAGTATAGCAAAGACATTAACGTAGTCTATTATTAACTATTATGTACTGGATATAATTGTATGTGCTATACTTTTATGCGGCTGGCAGAGCAGTAAGTTTGTTTACACCAGCATCACCACAAACATGTGAACAATGTGTTGTGCTAAGACCTTATGACAGCTGTGTCACGTCAGGCAATAGGACTCTCTCAGCTCCATTATAACTTTATGGGACTACCGTCGGATACATGGCCCGTCTGTGACCATAAAGTCATTAAGTGTCGCATGACTATTATGAAGATGATGCTACTTACTGTTTCATCATCACAAGCACATGTGCTTGGTGTTTTGTTTTAATGGTAGTAATACATTTGTCCTGACTCTTCTTATATTTTCCTTGAGTTGCCTTTCTGGCTGTTATTTCAGAAGTGTTATCTGTGGCTGTAGCACTGTGGTACATGCCACTAACAAAACCAAACCAACAACTGAGGGTTCATTTCCACCAGGTTCTAACTAGTTGATCAAGCTCTAACTAGCTGAGATAAGATAATCAGAGCATGATTTACCTATTAACTTTTCTTGTGCAACTCAGTAAATGTAACTGTTACATATTAATCTGTAGAATCAAGCAGCACACTATTGTTTTACATATGATTATGAGGCTCTTTTAAACTTGAAATGTTTCTGAGGATGGTCTCTGCTGCCATTACTTAACCTTCTCATTGGTAAGTACCATTAGTATTGACTTTAAGATTTCAGGTAATGTGGCGACTTAGTGCTGCAAATGTCATGTATTTAATTTTATGCCTTTTCCCTATCCCGCTGCAAAAAAATAAATTAGAAAAAAAAAAATAGAGCGCATGCCTTCACACCCATTCCACTGCTTCAAACTAGCACTGCTCTTGAGAATTTGAGCTCAATTTGGGATTGGGCAATGAGGCGAATGATGTAAGAACGTTTCATAACCTTTCTTCCAGGAGTTAGAAGAAAAAAGAGCTCTATCTTGTATTCATTTTTGGAATATTTTGTGAACAATACACAACAAAGAATTTTTATGTCCCTAGTTGATTCTTGCTAGTTTTTCCCACAGTTGTGGGGAAAATTCTTTTCTGTCCTTAACCCACTCTGGCTTCATCAAGGCTCCCTAAATTATACAATTATACCAAATGCAAGGCCGTTTACGTCGTTGAAGGCCATTGCCTTCCAGTGGAGACCTAGTGGTCACAGTGCACAGAGCTCAATGCCACCAGGATGCTGAACGATACTGTAATTACGATGCTCTCATTTTGTTCTCCTTTTCCCCATCTTTTTTTGTGGGGGAGAGGGTCAGATTTTAAGATAATTGGATCTGTTTTACTTAAAAAATGCTTCGTCATTCAAAAATTCAAGTAATAAAATAAACCTTAAAGCTCACTTTTTATTTATCCTGCTCCTGTGTTGGCAGAAAGATATCATGTGAGTTGGTAGCTTGACCATAATTAGGAGATAAAGGTTGTTGGGTTAGGGTCTTTTCCTGCCTTGGCTCTGGGTATCTAACTGTCATCTAGATAAATGATGACAATGATATAGTCACTAGTGGAATTAATAGTTATTGTATGTTGAACCATAAGGGGGAAAAAATGGGGCCTCTTTGCATGTTCCACCTTATTGGTTTACTCCCTTAATATGAACTCGGAGCAGATTTTTCAAAATGCAATTCGACTTCTACTTTTAAAAGCCACCATAATCTCTAGACCTTGAAATATATTTGAGAGTTGGGGGTGGCACATAATCTCTGTGTCACA